AAAAAAAATTTTCAATATTTTTCTCGTACTCCCCAAGTGAGCCTCTATCACCCCTTAAAAGGAATGACGCCAATTTTGAATCACCCTGTATATTATTAGATTTTTGAATTATACTCTTCATTACATTCTCCATAAATAATAAACAAGTTTAAATAATCTTCGTTTGAATAATTTAAGCGTCTGGGCATGATTATTAATGATTTTCCAAAGGTAACTGACAGTTGTCAGCATTTGATCGTATTAAAAATGGCCACTATTGTCATGGCAACTAAGAGTGACAGTTCATTACGAATTGCTTTGACAGCAAATCGCGGCATGAGCTTCACGTGTTCGGTTAGAGAAAAACACGCTCCGTTACTAATTGACTATTAAATTACCAGATGGAGGTCTTTATAAGTCGAAAACCAGCGCTTTAATGCAATAACTTCCATTCTGGAAATAGAGCATCCTTATACAATAATACCGGTATTATTGCCTGCTATTCTAGATTGGAATGTAGCCAAGAGGAAAAAGTCCGGTTTAGATTAGGATAGTAAATAGCGAACGTCTAATAAAATCAAACCCTTTTTCCTTCATAATTCTCATTAAAGCTAGACTAAACTCGATATCGTTCATTTATTACAAATTGTGTGGCATGGAATGCACGATGCCACGAGTATTCACATAAAAAGTATTTAAGTCGATTGAATAAACCCCACCAAGCATATTTCCGTCGGATTTGTTAAAGTCAAGCAGAAACTATGGTCGGATTTAGCAAAATTTTCACTCGAATTTTCCTAATTTTAGAGGGAATAATTTGTCTGCTGTTGCTTATCTGTCACACGACACGCAGTAGCCGGTTCACAATTAGACGGTTTCTCTTGTATAATTAGTTTCGAGGATGGTGTTGAACAGGATGGCGCTTTTCCAGCAACATTACTGATGGAAAATGACAGACGCGTGTCCCACCAACGAGTGGCTGAAACTCATTATTGTTAAGCACAAAAGTAAGACGTGTTTAAAAGAGAAACCGATTTTTCCAATATGATCAACTTTTGGAAAAAAGTGCATCTACGCTAGAGTTGATTTCAAGGCTGCTGCACTCGCGTTGCGGTTTAATTTTACTTTCAATGCACCTCGCAACTCGAAAACATCTCTAATCGTGAAAAGTGAAAGCAAACGCAAATATCGCCAACATGCTAAATGCTCATAAATAAATATTGTTATTACTGATGCGGTCCGTAACGTTGCATTCATTTAATTAAAGGCTTTTACGTTTTGTTTGCTCGGGTTCAAGTTCAACTTTAAACCGCTGTTGTGTTGGAGCTGCAACCTCCATATCTATTACTCTAAACAAACGTTGGTTAACTTTGCCCATTATCAGTTGTAATCGTAAGAATACTGGAAGTGTCATTTCTAAAATTTGCATGAAAACAATTGACGTCTTAGTTGATAACATTATAACACAATTGTTGTTATTTGCTTTATCAACCCTGAAAGCAGTGGGCCAAAAACTATACCTGCCAGTATGGGCAATAGTTTTATTAACCTTCATCTCAAAGGGAAGTGAGCAAAACGCTTCAAACCATGAGAATTTTTACCACTCAAGCCACTTTTGTGGCCACAACAAAACATGCGACTTTTGTGCAACATCGTTTTGGACGCCTCATCGCGTCCATTAGTAACTTCAGTTGTCGGCTGAATTTTAATTATTTCCACTATTTCCAGCTATTTTTAAAACCATCCGCGGCAGGAATAACTTGGAGAAGTTAAAAGTAGTGCTTTCTCTGGATTTTCTTTTATTACGCTCATGCTGTTGTTATTGGAGACACCGGTAATTAGAAGAGTGAAAAAAGTTAAAAGAAAAAGATCACATGAGATCAATCTAGCTCTTCGTAACTCAAAGACTCCTGGAAACTCCCAGAAATTTCCGACTAAAGTGAGTTTTTCCTCACTTAAAGCAGCAAATTTTCGCTTCGGATTTATATTGTGGACCGGATTGAGGTATTTTTGGCTTCAACGGTGTTGCCCAACGAACAATCGCTTCGATTTAGTATCCGAAAAATCCTGAAAACTCCCAGAACTTTCCTATTGAAGTGAGGTTTTCTCCACTCAAAGCAGCACATTTTCTCTTTCGAGTGATTTTATGAGCCGGATTGTGGGATTTTTGAGTTTTTTTTTGGCAAAAATTCGTGTTTTCCAACGGCCAATCGCCTCGTCTTAGTAACTGAAAAAATACTGGAAACTCTCAGAAATTTCCTATATTTAAAGCCGCAGATTTTCCCTCTCGAATAATATTCTGGGCAGGCTTGAGAAATTTTTGGCTTTTTCTTCACATTTTTTTTTAATCCGTCTAGCAATACCAACGGCTAATCGCTTGCCCTTAGTAACTTAAACCACGCTGGAAACTCCCAGAAATTTCCTAATCAAGTAGTATTTGTTCACTTAAAGCAGCCGATTTTCGCTTTCGAGTGATGTTATGGCCCGCATTCAGTAATTTTTGGTTTTTCGTTGACCTATTTTTGAAAAGAACAGGTAAAATGTTAACATTATCGTAGAAAATGTTATCAGCATTATTGAGCGGTATTTGTAAATTTTTGAAGTGATAACTTTTTATGGGAGGGTAAACCGATTTTTCTCGGTCACGGCGGCTCCCACTCCGGCCTCTTCACGCCTGAGGCTTTATTTTCTCTTAGTGCGGGTGCATCTGTAGATTTGATAAACTTTTCAAATACACATTGCGTTATTAAACTGACGGTGATTTTGATATATCAATTATTGAGTGTGATATTATTGTGTTCGGTGCAGTTTATTTAATAACGCTGATAACAATGAATCAACAAATTATCAAGGGACAAGCTGCAGATACTGCAAATACTAGGTAAAGGGTGCTCATGTACTAAACGCCTGTTCGAGTTTCGCCTTCTTTTCAATTTCCTTTTAAAGTAGACACACAATTATACACACCGAAGCAGTTTAAGTGCAAAAAAATGCGGATCGTCCATCAGTTTGCAGAGAAATGTATTACAAACTTTTGAAAATCTTCAAACGACCGGGTTTTTATCATTGCAAATGAGATTGCACATTGCCGTACACTGTTAAATATTGTTTTAAGAACTAACAATCGATGTTGTGCAACAAAATTGTGCCTAAGATCCACTACAACAAAGTTTTTGAAAAACTGTTGGACCTATTTTAAATCGCCTGATTGATTGTGTACGCAAAATCGTATCAAGAAAAGATTAAATTAAATTAAATCGTATCGATTCCCTATGTCTTACTATCCGTCTGTAGTCCAGATGCTCCCCAGATGATGTCCATTTACATTATATTGCACGATTCAAAGTTCCGACCTGGTAAAATATTACTACCAACTTGTTTAGTGATTTTCATTGGAGACAATTGTTAAACCAGATGCTGAGCGGATATTTTCTAAAGAAGGCAGGGTTTTGTCAGGTCAATTTATGAAAAAAGCTCAAGATTAAGTGCAAATAAAGTGTCACAACTATTATTAATAACTTTTAATACAATAACATGTTCTATTATTTGTTATTTTATTTTGTAATAACAAATTATCAATATTTAGATATCTATTTTGTAATCTTTCATATTTAACATAAAATGATAAACATCATTACTGTTTTGCAATAATATACAATAAATATGTTTTGAATTTAATTGAAAAAATATTTGAGTTTACCTCGATTATTTCAGAAAACATGAGTTTCGTCTTCTTATTTTCTATCCCGCAACGCATTCTTGATGTTAAGATGATACGAATCTCCCTTCAGCTTATAGTTGCAAAATATGTAAAACGAATTTATTAGGGCTTATTTTCAATTCTCTATATTATTTCTATGATTAATTGTG